GGAGAGACAGGACGAGAGAGAAGAGAGAGAGAGAGAGAGAAGAAAAAAAAAAGCTTACGATGAAAGTATCCTCGGAACCGTATTTATTTAGAACAGGATATAAATTCATATCAATTATTTTTCCACCATTTCCAGGCATCTCTGGGATTGCTTCATTTCGTAATTGTACAGAAAATCGTAATTTTATAGGATTTATCCAATCACTGTTTGTATTCTACAAAAATAATAATTGAATATATGAGGCTTACAAAGTGGATAATGTTGAAATGAGCCAAGGTTTATTTCTGGATTCCTTAAGGAAATAGAATGCAATTTGAGCCTAAGATAAACATATAAATAACTCTTGCTAAGATATATTGAATATTTAAGAATTATTATATCAAGATAGTTGGAAATTATTTAAATTTAAAAATTTAAAATATTGAAAAGTTCTAATACCGTAATAAAAAGTTTATGGTTTTTTATTTGTGGTTTCCGATTAGCACCTCGTCCACAATTCCATGTGTAATTCTCCTTACGTGATTCAAGGATACGTGCTCGAGTTCCCACTCCTGAACTCATTGCTATCACCTGAAAAAAAATAAACAAAAATAAATTTACTTCAAAATATTTCATGACACTTGAAACGATCATAAAAGTTTCTTCCCAGTTAAGCAATACCGTAATTAAACATATTAAAGATATCACTTATAATATGCCACTGATAGCAAGTTAAGGAAAAATTTGTCCTGTTTAATTCAGGATAAATTTTTCAATCCTTTAATATTTCCGGAAATGCTATCAATCTGTTATCATTCCATTCCAATACTATTATATTATATATTTAAATAATATTTCTTAGAGATTAAAAGTATCAATTTTACAAGTAATTGCTGGGAAAAAAAAAAGAAAAAGAAAAACTGATATCCAACAAATTTCAAATGTGATAAAGTTGATGCTAAAAGAAAATTGAAATTTAAAAATTAACTAACCTCAAGCATACATTTGAAAACATCACTATCAAAATTTAACAATTTTGATGAATTTCTTATGTTTGTTTTATCCACTGATAGTTCTGTTCTGATCGAAAAACTGAAAAAAAAACATCATAAAAATTATAAAATCTTATTTTATTTTATAGAAAATTTAAGATCCAATTTTATAAAGGAGGAAAATAATTGTATGGATGATAAATAGGAATAGGCTAAAAATATGGCCTATCTATTTTGTTCCATATTTATTGATGTATATTTGAAGGAAAAGAAATGAAAATTGAAATAAAAATAATTGAAATAAAAAAAATCAAAAATTGAAAATTAAAATATAATTTTATTTACTAATTATAGTTTAATTAGTGTTTAT